GTTGAAACTTGAGTTTTGATGACTGGGTTGAAGAGGAACACAGGTATCAGGAGGTGTAAGTACTACCTCGGCTGGATACGATGGATGTTGCAAATCGTTGCCTTAACTAGATAGCTGTGTTCAGTTAGCCGGATAGGTTTCTCCTCGATTTTAATCCACGCTTGATCATATAAGAAGAGGAGAGATTTTATCCTGTAGATGAACCGAGGAATCCTCCAAGGATGTTTGTGCAGTGTTCAAAGAAAAAAGGAGTTGACGGTAGTTTCACCTCACCTAGGCCAGTCTCCATCCGTGTGTAAGTATACCGGAGAGTCTGGTTGGTGAGGTTCAACTGTTGTTTGTTGTCCATGAATTCCCCATGGGAGAGTTAACAAACTCTAAGCCGGTTCCGAAGGGTCTTATTGTGAAGTTATCAAAGGCTTTAAAAATGCAGACATGTCTCAGGCGGAGCAGTCACAGAAGGAAGAGAGAGCCTGAGCTGAACACCCGGTGAACACTTCTAATAGTTAGGGGACCCCCATTCACATCGATTATATTGGAGATATTGTGCATATACCTTCCCTTCCCCGTTTTATCGTTAAACAGAAATCCAAGAAGAGTAGTCAGGTCCAATCCGGGTCGAGGCAGGCAGTTAGGTTCAGAAACGGAAAGGCAGGCCAAAGGGTCGGTAATAGGGAGTCCAAGCAAAGGATCAGGAAGCGAGACGGTTCAAGGCACAGGGAGCTGGGAGATCACGCCATACGGATTGAATAACTCCGCAAGGAGCCAGGGCTCTGACTGGGCTTTTATACCCAGTGGGGAACTAAGACCACCCCCTGGCTGCCGAGCCAACCAGGAAGCTTCTCCATCCAGGAGCCAATAGCAAGAGAAAGGCAGCAAAGATCACACCTGACACCGGTAATGGGCGAAGGCACACTAAGCGCGCGGCCCTGTGCATGCGCGCGCAACCTGTCTACCGCTAGCTAAAGCAGAGACACCGGCACTCCAAATTTGCAAAATACGTCTATTTATTGACGTGCATCGTGGTAAAAAACAACGAACGTTTTGGGGTCACAAAGGATCCCCTTCATCAGGTAAAACAACAGCCTGTCTACCGCACGTGGGCACCTGCCGCGCATTCGCACCCGCAACCCTGGAGCCAGGGATTCTGCCAGGAAGGGGAACCTGTGCCCTCCGCCGCACATGGCAACCCTGAGGAGTGGTAAGACCCCTGGTACCCTGACAGTTACATTGGCGGTTAGTGAGAATACCTGCGTTACTTTGGTGGTTAATGAGAATACCTCCGTTACTTTGGCGATCAGTATGAACACCTTTGTTACATTGGCAGTCAGTGAGAATACCTCTGTTATATTGCTGGTCAATGTGAATACTTTGTTACATTGCTGGTCAGTGAGAATACCTCCCTTACATTGGCAGTCAATGTGAATACCTTTTGTTACATTGGCAGTCAGTGAGAATACCTCTGTTAGATTGACAGTCAGTTAAAATACCTCTGTTACATTGGCGGTCAGTGAGAATACCTCTGTTACATTGGCGGTCAGTGAGAATACCTCTGTTACATTGGCGGTCAGTGAGAATACCTCTGTTACATTGGCGGTCAGGGAGAATACCTCTGTTACATTGGCGGTCAGTGAAAATACCTCTGTTACATTGTCGGTTAATGAGACTACCTCAGATACATTGGGGGTTAGTGAGAATACCTCAGATACATTGGCGGTTAGCGAGAATACCTCCGTTTACATTGGCGGTCAGTGAGCATACTTCCGTTAAATTGACTGTTAATGGGACTACCTCTGTTACATTGGCAGTCAGTGAGAATACCTCTGTTAGATTGGCAGTCAGTTAAAATACCTCTTTTACATTGGTGGTCAGTGAGAATACCTCCGTTACATTGGCGGTTAATGAGACTACCTCTGTTACATTGGCGGTTAGTGAGAATACCTCCGTTACATTGGCGGTCAATGAGTATACTTCCGTTAAATTGGTGGTCAGTGTGAATACCTTTGTTACATCGGTGGTCAGTGAGAACACCTCTGTTATATTGCTGGTCAGTGTGAATTTTTTTGTTACATTGACGGTCAGTGAGAATGGGGGGTGTCCTTGTATCGGGGTGCTCCATGGTAATGGACTTGGGGTGTCAATGCCTGTGGCTTTACATATAGGGCTTCAGTAGATGATGGTCCTTCTTTTCCCAAATGCTGGATATGTTCAGTGTGAGCTGTAACATGGACATAGTTATGCTTTCTCCACTGGTGGACTTTGGGGTGTCTTTGTATTGGTGTGCTCCACAGTAAACTATTTGGGGTATCATTGCTTGTGGCTTCACATGTAGGGCACTACTAGCTGATGGTCTTCATATAATAATTGGCTTGACCTGTAAAATGGATATCACAGATCTCTATTAGTTTTGGAGTGCTGCTTTATGGGATGCCTATGCAGGACTAGCGCTACCATAAGGCTGCATAGGCGGAAAAATGGACCTTCCTCTCTGCAGGCAAAAATCCTTGCACCGGGCCTGGCCCTATGCATATGCGTGGGAGATCTTTAATCCTGGGCTAGCTAACCAAGATAGCCAAAGATGCTGAAGCTGGAAGAAGACAAGGCGCAGATTTCAGCATCATTGACAGAGCAACAAGGAGCATAGGGGCCATCACAGCACTGAAGCAGGGTGCTTTGGTAATTCTGCCATAAAGTGCAGATATGCTCATTATGGCAAAAAAAAACCTAGGCACCGACAACAGAATTTAATTTCACTTTAAAATGTAAGTTTACTAAAAGTACAGTTATGCATTCACATGTTATTAGACAACTGAACCTGAAAAATGCACACATGCATAAATTAAGACACCTAGCCATGATTGCTCAAATAGATATTCATTTTATTAGATTTGAGATAAAAGCAGCATATTTAACAAACACACAGTTAAAGGGGGCAAAAGAAAATAGATATTAGTGCCATCTGGAAATATAACTATCAGGGACAATTTGGATTTTGCTTTACAGAACTGACTGAATGGTCTGAGCTGTATCCTGATATCTGTAATAAATGTGCCAAACAATGATATTTAACACAGCTTTCATAATGGTGATATTGCTTTCTGCTATCCTCCAGGAATACAAATACAGTAGTTCCAACGGTTTTGGCACCATTGCATTTTATAAAACAAATACAATTTGTTAGCCTTTAACTCTGCTGGTCATAAAAGGGGCTCAAAATGCTGATTCTAATGCTATAATAAAAAGACAAGGTCTTGGTTACGTACATATGTAAATATATGTGAAAGCCTCACAAAACTATCAAGGTGTCGGTGTGGTTTAATTTTATGAGGATACTAACTTTAAGACATGTATAGAAATGAATTAATTTGTAGATATCGTTTATTGGAGTGGCCTGACATTAGGGCTGATGAATGTGGAAGGGTTCAGCAGAAAGTGGTGCCAATTGTAAGGCTGGAATCATTTCCAATATACCAGAGAAGTGAAATATAATATGCACCATCTGTCTTTGCAGGTGGTTGGTACCCTGAGACCAGGAGAACTAAGGGGTATCATTCTGAAATCCAATATAAGGTGTCCGGCATGAATGTGGGACATAACCTATGCATGACATGGTACAATACATCAGGGCCATATATACTACAATGATATGGTTGATATATAGATACAGAAAGTAAAGCAAGGTGCTGACCACGTATGTCGTATTTTCTTTTGAAGCTGTACATATTTGCTAGAAAGCAGAATTCATAATCATGTGTTTTGCAATCATTGCATCACTCACATCCAGACTTACCTTCAAGCTTGCACATTTCTACTCTTCTCTCCTGTATTGAAAATACTTTCTTTGATTCAACTGCGAGCGTCTCACAGTGTGCATTAAAAGCTGCAGCAAGTCGGTTAGAGCCGTCTCATTTCCTGGCTGGAAGACGGCCAGCATAATCTAGCCCAGGATTTCTCAAGCTGTTTTTAGTCAAGGCACCCTTTAAAAGTATTCAAAATTAAGGGAACCCCATGCAAAAAAAGCAAAAAAAAAAGTGGGTTTCCCCCTTTACCCTTGCATCAGAGTCACCTATTGCATCAGGAGCCCCCCTTCACATCAGTCTCCATTGCCCCTTTACAGTACATGACTGTCCCACTGCCACAAAAGTTTGAGGCACCTCAGAGGAGGCCAGGGGGCACCCTAATTGAGAAAGGCTGATGTGATCTATTCCTCCCTAGCCAGACTGTCCCTAGCTCATCCCTTTCATTTATTGATCTTTTAATAGATAAGGACTCAGCATCACATCTGGGCATTACTCCTAGGATATTCTGCATGCAAATTCAGCCTACACTTCCAGATCAACATTTACCCATTAAGGCATTTTCATATTTGCAAAACTCCTACCAAGAGCCAGCCCACTGCTTCCAGCGAAGTTTAGGGTTCTTGAAAGGAGAAATGAAGCAGAGTGATGTGATATTTCAGGTAGCTATGTACAGCACCCTACTGGCCCCTCCCGCCAACCATGATTTGGCTGCATTTGCATAGAGAAGCACATAAGTCCAGGGATGATGTCACTGGGTCTAAAATAGGGTTTGTAATGAAAACAAAAAGGTTTTAGGGAACTGAAGAAAGCAAAATATAAGAAGATTAAAGCTGCATCAGTCATCAGTCCTGGTGCAAGTAATGAGTTCCAAATGTCCTCAGGGGCAGGTGTCAATCTGGAGAAGTGGGGATTCCTTAGCAGACTGCAACAGCATGCAGCCCACATGTGATACTGAACCTCCAAGAATGAAAGACCTGAAATCCATGGAATGAAAGGGTCGGGCCAGGGACAGTCAGGCTGGGGAGGAAAGAAATAGATGATGCTGGACATCCTGCAGTCAGGAAATGAGCTGGGCTGTACTGATGCAGCTTCTAATGCACACTTTGAAAACCTTACAATGTGCAGTGAAAGCACAGTAAGAATTTTCAGTACTGTAGAGGAGGCTGTACAACTGTGCAAGACTGACTAATAAGGCTGGAGTTAAGCTTTAAACTTCAGCTCTAAAATCCGTTTTTTTTTGAAGAACTTGGCTCGTGCAACAACATCATTGGCATAGTCTTTGCCAGTTGTGCGACTGTCAACATCTTTTAAGTCTCTCACATTTCCAGAACCAGCGTTGTATGCAGCGATAGCACCTGTAAGAAGTTTACAGCATTTAGATCATGCATTTAGATTAGTGCAATGTATGTTGCTGGCATATGTACAGATGATCACTTAATAAACCACTAAACACAGTGGAGGGAATTTATCAATACTGGAGCAGACAGATTTTGGAACAGCTGTGGATGGCAACAAATCAGCTTCTCTCTTACGTTTGTTCAGTTAAGTTTTGAAAATGAAAAAGAGAAGTCGCAGTGGACAACAGTGAGGTGCACTAGCTGGGTAGGGGCAAGCTAGAGCAAGTCCTATGCAAGTCCTGGCCAGCATTAGCATCAAAATTGCCACCCAGGTTTTGAAGCTCTAGGGGGAACATTAGAAATAAACTGATGTTGAGCACTCCTGAGGATACCTGTTCTATAAAACAGAGGCAACAGTGCTGAATAACTCTTGGGAACCCAAGTGGGAAATCCCTACCTTCCCTCTGCTGTGACCAAAACAGCTAAATGGCAGGCAATATTTAGGCAATATTTTCATTTTAACAGGTCAGATTTTCCATAGGAATATACTGCATATACAGAGGCCAAAATATATCAAATGATCTCTTCCATTCAGTGCACTGTGGGAAACATTCCCGTACTAGTTTTGCAGTAGGTATACACAATGGATTTACTTTAAAGCCCAACTCTGGGTACTGTGCTGACCCCTTCCTTCCATCCCTTGAGGTATCCCCACTGGAACATGATGGCTTCAGCTCTGCTCTTTGCATCAATATACTGTCAGTGCAGAGTACCATGCTTACTTGGTGAGGCTTTGATGCCCTACACACACAGTCTCTTCTCAATCTTCTGAATTGAGTGATATCTGAGAAAGCAGCCCAGGCATCTGCTATGGGGCCTGGGGGTGGAAAGGGCCCCATTAGGTTGATAAGGCAAATGTAACATAGAGCATGTGAAGATAACACAGTACTGTATAATTAAAGGTTTGAGTGGTTGCAGTAGATGACAACCCTTATTCTTCGTAAAGTCTATAGTGTAGGAAAGCTGACGTCAGATGCACAGGAGGAGCCTTTGCGATCTTGGTATCATTAGCCACAGCCCAGAGAGAGGTCATCAGGGGGACCCCCATCACATTTTTGCTATGGGGCCTCGTAATCTGTAGTTTCGCCACTTGGATCACAACCATTTTGTATGCTTTGTATTACACACTAATCTCATCTCTTCTTTTACAAACTAACTCCCCATTGCTCTCTATCACATGCGCCTATGACTACGTTGTTTTATGGAATTCTTTCATCTGCACTAATGTTATACTGAATTGCAACTTAATTACCTCTTTTACCTTAAAGGAGAACTATGAGGTAAGTGATTTCCACTCGTCCTCATAGTTAGAGGAGACCTGTGACAAAGAAGCTGATCGGGAAGTTTTAAACAGTTCTCTAAAAGCAGCTAAAATTATCATATATCTGTGATATGATTTCGTGTAATTTGTCAATTCGCAGTTGTATTGTTTTTCCTCAGCTTTGCATATTTTCAAGATTTAATGTCATTTGTGCCTCCTATATGTCACATAATCTACCGAAGAAAGGTGCAAATAGGCTGATTGCTGGTATACTGTATGCAGGGCCGGATTAACGTAGGGGAGGGTGGAGCTGCCGCTCCAGGTCCACCCCTGCTAATAGGCCCGGCCGACCCGGATCACTTCGGTATCCAGGTCAATGACCGGCCACAATCAGGCAGCGACGGCCCTCTATTGAGGCATATTAGAGGGCTGCTCCCTCCTCACTAGGGCCCCGAGAGGCCCCAGAGAGCTGCCCTCTAATATGCCTCAATAGTAGACCGTAGGCGGCAGTGACCGGCAGCAATCAGGCTGCGGCGGCCCTCTATTCAGGCATATTAGAGGGCTGCTCGCTGGCCCTCTTGAATGCCTGAATAGAGGGCAGTTGCTGCCTGATTGCGGCTTGGCACTGCCGGAAAAGAGAGCCGCAACACATCATCATTCCTTGTGACAAACTAGAGCCCCTACTGACTGCACAAAGCCCCTACTGACCGCACAAAGCCCCTACTGACCGCATCGGCATCAGCCTAATGGGACTGCTATTGTTACCAGACTAGCAGTTATAACACAAAAAACAGTTTCAAGCTAGTTTTGGGAGGAGATATTTTTTAAAGCTTTTGCTTTAATACACGTTCTTACCTTTCAATATCTCTTCTGAAGATGCTTTCGAAAATTTCTTCTTTATCTGGCTGATCATTGAAATCAGAATATCTGTAGCCTGGGCAATATGTGTTTCACTATCCCAGGTTCCCTCAAGCTTGTGATACCGTTTGTCAACCTGTCAAAGCAAATGTAAGTTATGAAAGCAGATCTAATCAATGTCATGAAATAGCAGTGATGTACTATAATATTGCAATTGATACAGCTGGCCCCTTAAATTATTTCTGTTATTGGCATGAGTGCTGTATTTGTCCACCATTAGTGAACTCAACACTGTGATCTAGCACCTATGTAATGTCAACACGAAGAGGATAGAAGAAGATAAAACTACATGTCACATGTGTCAACTTTTATGGTTATTACAAGCTGGGGTAAGCAGGAACTTTTTTTTTTTGCATACCCCTAAAAAAAGGCAGCTTGGACATCAAAATCTGTGCCTCGAAAGAAGCTGAGCCACAGAGAATCCATCTGAACATGTTTGCTCCGTCTCCGTAGGTATAACCCGTGTATCATTACACACATGCTAAATATATTATTTAAAGAGGAACTCCAGGAATTTTAAAACATACCCTTGCAGCGCAGCTACCCCTGCACTTCAAGGGTTAAGTGCTTGTTTTGTCTAGGGGGCTGCGACAATCAGCGTTCACCGCTTCCCCTTCTGCTCCATCTGTGAAATGTCCCTCACATCTAATGCAAGTCAATAGACCTGCATAAGATGTGATGATGCCAGTGGTCCTTAGGCTGCCAGGGCCCAGGGGAGAAGAGGCTGTGGGGACCAGTTTAGCAGCCCGGAGGTAACCGGATGGACCGAGGATCAGGTAAGTAAATCTGCTTTATTTTAGCCCCGAGACAAAATAAGAATTCTTGCAGTGTGGGGGTAGCATGACTGCAAGAATAGGTTTTTAAAATGCTTGCATTTGTTGCTTAAAATTGACAATAAATCTAAAAATGCAAAGTAGTGTAATGAAAAAGTGTGGGGGAATCCAAAATCCATACAAAAAAGGTTTGACTGTTCATCTACTAAATGTAGCCAAATCACTTATTCCCCTACCCTGGTGAAGTGAGATTCTTCCCACTCTAGGAGAATAGCGAACTTCAATAGACCGAGGAGCTGAATTTGAAGAAATGAGGGCATAGTCACCTAATCTCTTGATCTCTACAGGAAAACCTTGACCTATTGGCTCTTAATTTTCAACACATCACCCATATTTTGATAACCTAATACAGGGATGGCCAAACTTCGGCCCTCCAGCTGTGGTGACACTACAAATCCCATGAAGCATCTCTCTCCAGGAGTCATGTCTGTGGCTGGGAGAATCTTGCAAAGTCTCATGGCATTCGTAGTTCCACCACAGCTGGAGGGCCACAGTTTGGCCATCCCTGACCTAATACTTCTCCACCTAACCCTTTTATCACTGTAAAGGTCAACTTTCACTAATATAAATTCACTAGACAAAGCCCTGCAGTTCTGGCGCCATAAAGACACTATATGCCCAACAGAGAAGATACTTATACCATATACCACACATAATACACCAACACAGACAGAATACAAGCTTTGCCATGTTCCTCAATGAGAAATTTACGGTAAGATCACTTGTAAGTTTGTAACCAATGAAGTGGATTAACGCTCACTTTAACCCAATCTATTTGAATAATGTGGTTTTAACTCAGACAACCTTTAGTTTTGTGCCATGACTGTTACCTTATACTTGTACCAGACTTTTTTTTAGATTAGTGATACCTTTGAAAACATGCAGGGGTGGACCTACCGCCGGTGCGGCTGCACCAGGGCCCGAAGCTGGGGGGGGCCCACTGAGGTCTGGACCGGGGGGAGGGGTGGGGGTCGGACTGATTCCCACTGAGACTCCGGGACATGTCGCTAGTAACAGGCAGCAGGAGAGGAGAGGGGAGAGCTGGGTAGGCAGTGTGTAGGCACCAGGAAAACGGGAGGAAAGCTGGAGGCAGAAGACGGAGAGCAGGTGAGAAATGCAATGTATCCGAGTATAGAATCCGGACTGTATGGGAAGCAAGTCAAAACAAGCACCGCTCAGAGATTCCTGTGTACATAGAGACCTCCGTATATATACAAATCAATATACAGTATATATAGATCAGTGTATATAGAGATCAGTGTGTGCTATACTCCTCACTGTGTATTAAGAAATGAGTGTGTGGGGTGGGGGCTGGTTGGTTGGGGGACCCGACAAAAAAAATCTTGCACCAGGGCCCTTTGTTCCTAGTTCCTAAAGGTCCGCCACTGAAAACATGTATTTCTGCCTTTGCAATATTACTGGCCTTTCATCTGATTTTCCAAAATAAAGAATTTTAAAAAAGCATAAAAATCCCCCAAAAAGTAAAAAAAAGACACTTAATACTCGCCTCTCCCAGAGCTTTCTGCACCACTGATCTCTGCTGTAGTGAAGAGAAACTGCCACCTGAAGAATCTGGATAATATGACACTTTGAGTAGTGTCAAGGTCTCCTGCTGCATCAGGTGGTTGGATCCACTGACCTCTGTGTCATTCCTGTATCTTGTTGTGACACAGGGACTGGTGGAAGGAACCACAGAGCTGTCTCTAAGAGACAAATAAATAGAAGCATCTTTGATTGCTAGAAATGAAAAAAGCTTGTGCATTATCATTATATCTTTTTTTATTTTTTAAATTATTTTTTAATGTATTATTAATAAATAAAGCTGTGCACACACACACACACACACACACACACACACACACACACACAGTATGGCAATTCATGTGTGAAATAGAAGGTATGCTTGCATTTTGTATCATGTATAAAGAAAAATTACAGCACTATTTAACATGTATTCCATAAGTAAACATGTAGTACCTGCATAAGGCCAAAGCCATTGTTATGGTCACCCCAACCATTTACCAGAACGCTTCCTCCACGGCATTCACGGGACATAATAGCAGCAATAACAGATGGATCCATTTGTTTTTGTTTAGCCACAGAGAGAATTTTAGTTTTATATTTATTTATTCGTCCTAAGTCATTCTGAGCCAATTTCTTTGATGCCTCCACTCCTTCATAACAATGAAAAGATACAAACACGTCATTGGTGATCTGTTTATTGTTACTGAAAATACAATAAAAAACTATCAAAGTGGAAATTGGTAAAATATAGGAGAATGAAAGGAGAAATACTTTTTTTGTAGCAATGGCAATGACTGTGCATGTTAAGTAAGGGGAAATTTCACAAGTGTAGAAAATGTTCGCAATACTTTACATAATAGGAAGAAGGAATATTGATCTAAAAATGTGTGTGATAATATCATGGAAAAGTGAGAATTTAATATGCATCAGTCAATATATTATAGGTTAAAGTAGTACATTTTGGCAGAAAGAAAGGTTAGTAGCTTTGTCAGAATTTTATTTTTCTCTGGGTCACTCTTTTTGAGAATTACTTCCCTGTAAATGTTTTGTCTGTCTTAGAAAATCAACCTCAAGTTACAAATGTTAAGCTGTTACTCAACCACTAAACTCCTGTTGCTTAATATCACTTTATTTATTGAGTGTACTAGAAAAAGGAGCAAGAAATGTTGATGTATATAGAAAAATGAGCTGTGCAGATGTAGAAACTCACCCCCAAAATCCCATAAGGAACTGTTAGTTGATTTAACGGAAATATGGGGGCTGGCATTGCTGACCTATTTCTGCTGCCCTTGACTTCAAAACTTTGTAAGTCATCAGCCTGGAACAAGTATGCAGCAAATAGACACAGAAATCTTGACCTGCACACTTTGAAGCATTTGGATCGGCATAAAGACAATAATTATAATCTTCAAAAGAGAGCAATGGTAGCCAGGGCCTTCCCTATAATGAGGCAGTCTGATGTGAATGCTTCAGGCAGCATCTCACTGGATCACATGGGGAGGGGCGCCCTGCTCCTGGCAACTAATGACATCAGTGAGCTTGGCGGGACTGCCGGATAGAGCCAACGCAACCCCCATCACAATAGACGGGCACCACATGCGCCCCCTAACCCCCTGAAACAATCGCAAACATTGCCGCCCCCCACCCGATAACTTGCAAGGACGCCCCCCCCCCGCCCC